CACGTTGCCGCCTTCGGCACATCCCCATGTCCCACCTAGCCCATGCCGTGGAGGTGACACCAGCACGCTGGACCTGGCCAATGGCCCAGTGTCACTAGCCGGTGCCTGGCCATTACCAGCAAGAGGTGCTGGGGGCAGAGCGAGGGCAGCCAGCGCGGCCAAAGCTTTCCCATCCCTGCCAGGTCTTTCCTGTCCCTGCCAGGCCCTTCCCGTCCCTGCCAGCCCTGAGGGCCCTGCCTGCGCGTGCAGGGAGCAGTGCAGCCAGCTGTCCGCGGGCCAAGCAAGGCAGCTCTGCCGGGACAGGGCTCTCCGGGCCACGTCACCCTCTGCCCCTGCTCCCTGCGTCATCCAAGGGAAGCCACCAGGCTCTGGAGCAGGTCGAGGGCAGGCATGAAGATTGCTGGAGGTCAGAGATGGCCCAGGACAAGGGGCTGGAGGGACACAAAAAAACACTTTTCCTCACACAAGGCGAGGGGCTTGTCCATTCACCATGTGGATTAATTATGCCAATTAAGCGATTTGTTGGATTCTTGCAGGCTGCAGTTCAGTCCTCGGATCAGGTTTCCCAGCAGAGAGGTTATCATTGTGGTGAGGACCATGACTCACACGCTCTTGGTGAGACATTTTTATTTATAACTCCTGCTGCCAAGCCAAGGCAAACAACGCAGTTTGGCTCCCACAAAGGGGAGGCCAAAAGCACAATCACCCCCATCTGTGCTGCTCGGCCTGCTGCAGCGGGGTGCAGGGGGGCAGCTGCAGGCCACAACCTCCCCCTGCTCCCTGCTGCTCCGCGCTGCCCGCAGACCCTGCCGGGACTGCAGTGCACTAATGCTGCGCTGCTTTTGTGCATATTCATGCTGGAAACATTTCATTTTTCTCTGCATAGATCTGCACCCAGCTTAATGTTAGGGTTCTGCTTTTGATAGGTTAATCACCTACGTTATGTCCCAGTTATTAGCATTTACATGAGTGGGTTGCCATGGTGCTCTGCGGTTTATCCTGTAACTGTTAGTTACTTATATTTCCTAACAAATATCCGAAAATATCCTGCACTGGTTTGTGGTTGCTGATGAACATGGAACCTAGAGCTAGGAGATGGGCAAAACTGCTTAGGCATCACTTTGGTGCCTCCAAGTTACACGTCCACCGCTCCTCTGTGCCCGGCTCTGCTGCAGGCTGCAGCGCAAGCGGCTCGAGCTGGCGAAGCCCTGACGGCACCGTCCCCCCTGCAGGGCCCGGGGCACCGGGTCCCCAGGGGCT